TAAATGTACTCTATAAGATGACAAACATTATATTGCTCTATTCTTTAGTAGTAGTATATTGAGCCACATTTTATCCTAGGGTGTCTCGCATCCCAGCCTCCACATCTCTCTATCGGAGTAGTCTTCGTTATTCAATCCTCTTTTCACCATTGCCTCAACCACTCCTTCTCCCCATCTAAGTCTAGGTCTTCCTCTTCTTGGATGTATGCCGGTTGCCATTCCCACAATATTTTCGGCCAATGTTCTCATTCACTCTTTGCATGTGCCCCAAAAATTTTAGTCTTCACTTCTATTGTGTCAATTATATTAAAACTTACTTCCTTTATGTTTAATTTCTTCGTTCTTCACTTTATCCATTAAATTCAGTCCGCAACTTCGGTGCCAGAAGTACATTTTTATTGCTTTCAAATTTTTTTCGCTCTTTTTTGTTACTTCTCATACCTCACACCCATAAAATGTTTAATAAGTGAGTGAAGCCCTTAGAAGATAGAGGAAGAAATGTAATATGGGTATTAAAATTGGTGACTCATGTTATTCTCTCTACACTTCGCAGATAATCAGGTGGTGTTTGCTGAAGATGATGATGATGCTCTATACATGTTGCAGAAATTATTTGAAGAGAACTCGGAATTGGGTTTAGAAATAACCTTAACAACACCGAGTATATGGTTGTAGGAATAAGTGCTAAAGGTCAGTTTCAGAGCCAAGTCCATGGCCAAAAGGATAAAAGGCACAGACTGATCACAACGAGTCAATACTGGACCAAATAAAAGTTAATGGAGGATTACTCCTACTTCACGTGCTTAATGCCTAACATGGATTAGGAGATGTGTTGCATCGAAAAAGATGCAACAATTAAAAAAAAAATACACATGAGGAAGATAGGAACATGATATAAGAAAGTTGTAAATAATTCAAACACTTTAAATCTTACTATATATTCTGGTTCTTTGAAAACTACAAACGTGTCATTTTAAAACCCTGTGCACACATTCAGAATGTTTTAATAGTGCCGTCAAAAGAAACAGAACCAACAGAAATACATTCATTGAAATACATTTGTCATCAATATATCAAAATATTGAAATCTTGATAAGAGTTTGAACACTAATATTCTTCATTAATTTTATTACAATAATTGAATAAAAGTACAGAATGAACCTAACAGCCTTTTTCAATGAAATTCTTATGAAATGAACTGATATCAATTCTTACAAGCAGTATTACCAGAGAAAAGTTCATATTGAACTTGAGCTTTTTTTTTACATATTTGTTACATTAATCCTCATATGTAAGTATATACATATGTATATTTACATATGTATATTCACATATATACACATCCATAAAAATATTATTATACAATTATGTATAGAAAGCATGCTTATGTAAAGGATTTCAAAGCTTTCCATTAATGGTTTGACAGCATACAAATATTTGTGCAAATTAGCAAAAATCGGAATAAAAAAGAAAAAAAGGAACAATTTGAATATGCGAAAAATAACATAAAATATGCATAGTAAGTAGAATTTGCAGAAATTAGAGAGAAAAACAAATGTTGAATTACTGAGAGAGCAATATTTGTAAATAAACACAAAAAGTAAGAAATAAGTAGAAAGAAATTCAACAAAAATAAGAAATCACAGTAGAAAGTTGCTATCTACTTACTTCAAATACAATAGATACATCAAATGAAAAATTGCTATTCCAATTTCACCCGCACAAATCCTACTAAAACAATGCAAAAAGTTGTCACGATTGCATAAAAGTTACTCTTTGGCAAGTAACAGATAGAAAATACATTTCACATCAATACATCCATGAAAAAACTGCAAGCAGCTCTCTCTTTCTCTCTTGCAACTTAATCTTTGGCCCTTCAATTTGTTGCTGTGGGAGGTGGATTTCCATTTGGATCCTGAAAGAAAGAAAAAAGAATGGTTAATTACTGATGTGTTGAAAGACACTGATGTCTTCATTTCAAAATATGAAGCCAATGCTGGTAACACTAGTAAGAAATCTAAAAATAAAGTGATTATGCTGACTACCTCTTCATCTGCACCCATTTATTTCAGACACATGACATTACAGAAAAATTCTGTTTAAAGAATATTTGCAAAACAATTGGTATGTCATTGACCTACATTTTTTTTGAACAGGAAACAATATAAAACGGTAAGAAAAATAGAGGAAATGAAAATGATACGATAGTGTACACCAGAATTCTGCAGTAGTAAAAAGTTGTCATTGTAGCCACAAAATATTGAACTGAGAAAGCAGAACAAGTGAATTAAACATACTAAATATAATGTACATGTATATAATACTAATCTCCCTGCAAGTGTCATCTCCTTAAAAAGTGAAACAGGCATGACAGACGTTAAGAGTAAAACCATGTAAGATTAACAAGGAGGATACAGCGCTTGAATCTGTAAGTGAGGGGATGAGAGATTGCCTTGCCTCCTCTCCAATATTATAACCTTTTATTAAATTTTCAGACTAATGTAAAATCTTAAAAAAAAGTGAAATAAAATATTCAACATAAAGATGTGTATAAGTAAATTAATATTCAACATTGAGATTTGTAAATTAATAAATGTAATATTCATCATTCAATTTATACTACTATGTAAGCATATTATCACAGAGGTTCCACATCAGACACTGTGCTCTGGGAGAGAGGGCAATGCCATTGCAAAGGCAACTTCTGGGGTCAATATTTCAAATTCATCAGTAATGACTGTGTCTCAATATATTATGTTTCACTCAGGAGATAAAATACTCATCCTAAAAGATGAATTCCTTTTGATAATTAAGTCTTTTAACTGCCAGCAAATGGTTAAGTGACTGTTGACCTGATAATTTTCATTGAAAAGGCGGGGGGAGGATCAGTATGCATTTTTGCAGAATGAGCAATATTAAAATTATAATGTCATACACATTTTGAATCAATTCTTTTACTTAATTGTCTCAGTAATTTACTTCAGTTGTCTCTTTGGAGGCTAGTTGAATGCAAAACACAATCTAATGAAAAACTGAATACTTTAGGTTGCAGTGTCATTCTTTCTAGATTTGAAAGAAACATTAAAGGGAAGAACAGAAAAAATCTAATTTGAAAATCCATCATGAAAGTAAACTGAACCGGTATGAAATAAAAGAAAAATTGACAATTGACAATGAATATAATTATCATGCCAAGAAAGAGTCATTTTGTGAGGAATCTCACCTACGCAACAGGAAGGTTGCAATTTTGTAAACGGCTTCTGGGTTGATCAAAAGAGGAGCTTAAAAACTTTCCTTTTGTGATAAGATTTCCTCGAGAATATGGTTATACTCAAGCAATTCACATTTGATTTAAACACGTTTTTACCAATCTGACCAGTATTTCAGCTTTAATCTCAGATTCTCTTACTTTAGTAACAGAGCTGACAATTGTTATTTAATAAAATCCATTTGCTCACTTTAAAGAGAAAAATAGAGATATTAATATATAGAGTATGAAATGGCATAACAATTACTTTATTTGTTAATGAATTCAATATTGAAAAAAATAGCAAGTCCATCCAGATTTCCCCTTTAAGAATGGATTATGCAAAGTCTTTAAAATAGTGTTCAGCTCTTATAAAACTTCACATATGCATAGTCCATCAAAAATTCAACTCAAACATAACACTTACATTTCCATGATCTCGAGGCTTGTTGTTTTTTGAGTTGCGGAGAGATTTAGGGCGTAGAAGGAATAGAAACAGCACCACAACCATCCAGCACATGGCCATCAGCATGAAATTATTCTCTATGCCTTGAGGGTTTGGTGTGCCCCCTGGCACTATAAATAGGAAAATATTGGGTAAGTCAAATTCAATTCAACCAGTATGAAATTTAAAAAAGAAACAAAAAATATTTAACTAAACAACTTCATTTAAGGTATCTTAAAAAAAATATTTCACAAGAATAAACATACGATTAAATAGCTTTTTCCCCTTTCATATTTTTCACAATTACAGGGAAGAAAAATATATTTTCCGCCCCCCAAAATAACTTTTTCTTAAAGCCCCCAAAATAATGTCTTCCTTTTTTTATTTCAAAGAAACTTTTGAAATGTAATTTTGTCCAAGATACTTGAGGTAAACTTGGTACCAGATTCTATCCCTGAAGGAAATTTGATATTCCAATGATGAGACATTAATAAACAAAACCTAACAACTGCACCAAAAAGAGACAGTGAAGTTATGGCTCTCTGATATTATAATACCCATTGTTTGATAGAGACTATAGTCCATCACTTTTCATAACCCCTCAATGATAAACCACTATATTATTGATTTACATGTTTTGATATAACATTAGATTCATTTGCATCAAAGAACGGTAAAAACTGTTTGTAATGTATTGAGGGAGAAGTATAATCTGCACACCTTTCTGATTCACATTGCAAGAGCATGTAATTTACTCAATTGAATTAATCTCCTCCAGTGATTTTTAAATTTGTGAAGTAGGCACACAGAAAAAAATTAGTAACCAAACCCAGAAAATACATGAACCCATGAAATTCATTCAATGGACAGTTTGTTCCTAATGAAAAGTTCAACATTAACAAAGTTTAAGGCATATCACATGTTACATTCCCTAAAAGCAAGATAAAATGTAATGTTTAACAGAATTTTTTGACAAAATGATGTCACTTTGAGATATCCTACAAAAAATTATTATTTCTTATTCATCTACCAATTTATTTCATAAAATATTTCCACATAATACATGAATTAAAAAAAACGCTCATTATAATCACAATTCAATACCCTGGGAAATGTTTACTTGTTAACACACAATTCTACGCAATACACTAGCTTTAAATTTTGTTATTTGTTGCCTAAGAAGCAAAATACAGTTAAATATTTAAGACACTCTTGGACACAAGTTTTTTTAGTAACTAGGGCTTTCAAATTATATTTAAACTATCTTATATTTATAAATTACACTTACACTCTTGTAAGCATTCATTATCAGTGCAGTAAGCTTGAGACTGCCGAAGCTGTAAAATATGCAAAGAAAAATGTGAATAAAATGATTAAAGCCACATTTAATTCTTTCCTTCAAAAGTAAAAGAAAACATTAATTTAAATGGCTACAGGAATGATTTTCATGCATCAAACTTCAAATATAATGCATTTTAAGGATACATTACCATCATAATTGTTAATCATGAAATGTTATTTAGTAAAAAATATTTCTAGTAAAATATACAATGCATGCAATTCTAAATTAACTAAATAAATACAAAATAAGTAAACACATAAAATTAATGATGAGATTATGGAGATGTTAAATTACCAATACAAATTGCATACAACAGGGAAAAAAAAACTTTCATTATTTGATGACAGTACGTTCGTACAAAGAATCAACTCTTTCCTTTGTACAATGTAATATGCATCTTGCAAAATAATCAGCTTTTGTTCAAAGTGGAAAATGATGACCTAAATACACAGCAATCTTTCAGGTATGAAAAATATAATGTACCAGAGAAAGCAAACGCCTCATGGCCAATTCATGACTCCAGAAGCACTCGCACGGATCCATTCCTTCGTCACTCATTATTTTCTGGAGTGTGGAAATGTAAGATTAGCACCAACAACTGTAAAAGAAATGTCTAATTAAAATTTTGACAGGATACCTGACATACCTGACAGTGACATATCTGTAAACTGTAAACATCGTCATTCATTTCCAAACACCTTAAATCATGAAACGGTGGAAATAATGCAAAGTTTACTTACAATTTGGAGGCAACAATAACTATATTTCACAAACAACAAAGGTCTAAAACCCAGTCAAGAATTTTGCTCAAACTACATTTCACGTAAAAGATCCACACACAGCTGGCATTGTTGTTCCTTTACCATTGGTTGTTACTTATAACCAATCAGAAGTCATCACACTAACCTCCCTCCTCCTACTAACAGCGCGGTTTGTTCGAACGCCACCTAAAGCTCCACTGATCTTGACATAAAACAATCTACTGTCTGAAGCAGGAAGGCAACGCAGAGGTGAATTTTGCCCAAAAATGTGAGAAGATACATTTTTTTCGACAGATAAATATCATAAGAAATATAAAGAAAACTGGCAAGGTCATGTCCTGAGAACGCCAGAACATAGGATAAGTAAAATTATTCTTCAATATGCACCTAAAGGAAAAAGAAGTGTAGGACGTCCCTTGAAGAGATGGCATGAACAAATTTCGAGATGGAACAGATCAAGAGGTCTAATCCTTGTTGTCGATGATTATATATATTTGTGTCTGTGTGTATTTCAGACAGTACATCCATATAACAGGACAAGAGGTGAAAGTGCTCTCTTAAATAAATAAATCAATTAGATAAATTGACATCGAAAAATCGTCTTTTAGGCGCCTAAAAGAGCACTGAAAATGTCAAGAATAAGGAGAAAAAACGTACTGCCATATATTACTCAACAAAATGAAAAATTGACTGTAATTTTTTCTATATTATTTTGTAAACTTAAATGCACAAAATAAGTACATTTATTTTAACGTAAAACAATACTTACATATTTACAATTCTTTTACATTTTATTCCTACAATATATTGCATTTCAATACATAAACAGTAAAGTTTTGATGTTTGAAACAAAATCAGTGTGAATGCAGAAGAGGATATCTCAACATTTACTGAAGTGACTGACATATTTTAGAAGTTCAACATTCGCAACACTGATATCTTCTGGGAATTTTCATTTGTTTACACTTAAAATTTCGCTTACTGACTATTTTGACATATACATACATACATATATACATACATATACATATATACTCATACATACATATAGACAGACTGAGACCGTCCCGTCGTGCCTCTATCTGTATTATAATTATTTTTGCATGTATTACCTGATATTCAAAATATGTTTCAATTTTAATACTAATCTTTCCGGCACGAGCGGCATTGGCACTGAAATATTTGTATTAGGATCGTGGGGCAGAAGACCTTTCTGTACAAGATAGGGAAATCATATTTATCATTATTTTTTGGTCATGGGAGGGGAAATTATTTTCTTTATTTACAAACAAAAAAACAACAACATAGACATCATTCAAATATATTCAGCAACGTGATCAATGGCACTGTTAATTTATTCACCGGTGTTAATCTGCGCCGTCGCCACTTTGTATGACGCTGCCGATAAAAATTTTAACACAAAACAAGAAATACCGTTTAACTTAATACTAATGAATCTAACTTCACATTCACACTTAATACAAAAAAATATTTACGCAATTCCCATTCATACTGTGCACGTTAGTAGTTTGATGGCCATCCACGTTATTTCAAGATATTTACCAAATTTATTACAGGGCTTGGCCTTCTCATATACATATATATAATGTTGCACACGCGGGGTAATATCTGGGGACGTCCACTTGCCTGAATATGATGATGATGCCGTCACCCCGTGAATTCGTGCCATCTATCATTTCATCATACCTTTCCGTCAGCTAGGCTCGCCACTGGCACCTTATCACACTTCTACGCGTTTCTACGAAAAAACCGACTAAATCCAGCACTTTCATTGAATCCTACTACCTAAGAACTGAAGTCAGCGCAAACTCCAACACGCCTTCTCTCCGATAACTCATTTCACTCTCTCAAAACAATAAAAATGCCAGCCAATGCTACACCATGTCGTCTCGGCATTTAGCATCCATCTGTGTCTACTCTAGTTTAGTATTTTCATTGTTTTTTCAACAAAACAAAAACGCTTCCTTTCCTCTGTCAACGAGATCTTTGGGAACATTTTTTCATATTCAAAATTTCTTCTATTCTGATTTGGCACCTGTCAGAGGTACATAATTTTTTCCTTTTCATTCACAGCGTTTCCCAAAGTAAAGTGGCCTCTGGTTCACCTGCTTTACCGAAATTCCAACTATTTCGAAAGGTACTTATATCACTTACCTATATTCAATTGTCAATCCGTGTAAGTATCTTTATGCCTCATTAAGTTCTTCTAAATTTTAGTACCTTCTTTTCGCATTTCTGCTGGATGATTCTCAAAATTGTTTATTTTTTTATACTTCCCAGGTCTTCTACCAGCATAGTTCCTCAGGTTTTTTTTAGATATATACACTTCGGGCTTCCGCCCTTACACCTTCGAATGTTTCCTTTTAATAAATACGTCAGGTTTTTAGTTACCTTATTGCACATTTGTATTATTCATTGTGAAGAGTCCGAATGAACAGTCACAATACAAACAGACATACGGACGGGCAGACGGACGGGCAGACGGACGGGCAGACGGACGGGCAGACGGACGGGCAGACGGACG